TCAACTCCCAGGGCCCACTCCTAGGGGACTCGCTGAAGCCAGAACAACCTGGTAAAAGGTAACTCATCAACCTGTTTCTAACTCTCTGTGGCTTCCCTGTGCGGTTAAAATAAGAGCCTTGGAGGCCCCACCCACCTGGCCCTGCCTCTCGCTGCAAACCTGCCACCTGCCACTCCAGGAGCTCTGGCTTTCTGTCTGGAAAGAGCAGTCTCAGGGCCTTTGCACTTGCTGGTTCCTCCCGTGGAGCACTCTTTCCCCCACCTCCTTCCATGCCCAGCTCCTCCTCCTCCATCGGCTTTCAGCTGAGACCTTCCTTGACCCCCACTGACCTCAACAGGCTTCTCTTCCCCTCCCCTCCACCCTCCTCAGCATCAGCCACTGTCTAATTACATATCCACGTGCTGACATGTTCATCTCCCCGCCTAACGTGGAAGCTCCATGAGAGAGCAGGGCCTGTTCACTTGATTACCAGAGTCTGACACAGAGCCTGGCACCCCATGAGAGCTCAGAAACCATCTGTTGAATGAATGAGTCAATAATAAAGGAATGAACATGCCCTGGGACAATCAGTATTATCAAACCTCCAAAGCCAGATCCCAATGGGCCCAGCTTTCTTGAAAGACTAAAGGAACATCCTTCCCCGAAGAGAAATAAACCCCATGCCATGCCCACACCAGGACTTCTCTTCATTCCCACTATCTCCTGCTGTTAACCCCACGGTCTCAAAGCTGACCACCTTACTCCCTAGAAATGACCCAGAGCTCCTTGGCTCAGAGAACCAGAACTCCACCCTGGAGTGCAGCCAAGGTCACAGCCTCGCATTTCAGGGGCTGGGTGGAGGGGCCTGGAGCCCTCTGCATCGCTCTACCTCTGGCCATTAGCCTGGTCCTTCAGAACAAAAACAGGAAGAGAGTGGAGGCCTCCAGGGCCTTGCCACGGTCCCAGGAGTCTAGGTGAAGCCCGGCCAGCCAAAGACCCAAGACAGGGAGGAAACAGCAGGTGGGCCGGGGGTCAGTCCAAGGACACGGAGTTTGGGAAAAGACACCTCTGCTTCCCGCTCTGGAATCAGACAGAGGCCTGGCTTCAAATCCTGACTCCAACATCTGTATTTCTGAAGGCTACAAGGATGCTATTCAGCCTGAGCCTCAGTTTCCACAGCTAGCAAAACGAATTTCACAACCGTTATGTGTGGCTGCATCTACCTGCCCTCCAATCGCCCAAAATGAGCCCCTTATTCCTACGGGGAAAATGCAACCAGATGTCAATGACGCTCAGTGACTTCCTCAAAAAAATAAAAAAAATTAAAAATGGGTTTCCCAGGCTGTTCTGAGGCGGAGCCACACAAGCTGATTCACATTCACTTAACTCTGTTAAGGACCAGGGCCAAGCTGACTCCTGGATTTAGCAAATGCATGCCCACAGCAGCCACTCGATACGTATTCTTCAATGAATGACTCCAACGGCAAGATGATTTGTGTTTATATTAATCCCCGTAATCAAGCTGGATAAACTAAAGTCTTTTTTCACCATTGGCAGGTATGGCCAGGAGCTAATTCCCCTTGTCCTTCCATACCACAGGCAGATACGTGGGAGAAAACACACTGAGGCCATTATAAAGCTCAAGATGTGGACACGTTGCCTCCTGATGGAGGCCATGTGGATTTGGGTAAGTGGAATATTAAACCTCCTGATTTCTTTGGAGATTATCTGTCCATTTCCCCAGGCTTATTCCTTAAGAAACCAAAAGGGCTTTTTAACATAGAACAACTCCTCAGCAAAAAATAAAAAATTAAACAATCTTCATTCCATCTGTTGACTGTCATCAAGTTTTTGCAGAGAAACTTGGCAGAAGCATTCCTTCGTTAGTTTTCCGCCATAAATACTGAGCAAGGAGAAGCACTGCCCAGGACTGAGGTCTGGTAGAGGAATCTGAGAAACCTGTCAGTTCTGTGTCACCTGTCCCTGCAGGCTCATGGTGACTGTGTGATCCTTTAGCTTTCCGCTGTCTGGCCTCAGCTTTTGCAGGCAAAACTGTTTCTTGCAGCTACACATGCCGGTCCCCCAATGCCACAGCATCTCAGGGACGCAGGGAAGGACCCTAATGCTGCAGAGTCCCACACGGAGGACTTCAGTCTAAGAAAATGCCTCCTAAGCAAACCCACAGAAAGGAAAATAAGAGTTAGCTATGCCCTTTGCAAAAGAAGGGCCTTTTTTTTCTTGAACTACATTTAACATACGGAAAAATTGAGACTTGGAGAGGTTAAGGAATTTCACCAATTTAACACAGAAAAGGTAGAGCCAAGGTTTTTTTAAAAATGTGTCTACAATGGATTTAACATAAGAAAAAGTGACTGGCACATAATTTGGCAAGTGTCCTTAAATAGGCGGAGTGTGAGATGCATGAACAAGAGGTGGCTCAAGAGGTGGCTAAAGGTGACTTGCTTACCAAACATGGCATCATGCATGCCAAGAGCATAGGTCTAACGTCAGAAGGCCTGGATTCAAGTCCCAGGTGAGTCACTGATGAGCCGTGGGACAGAGGCGAGTCACGGAACTTCTTTGCTTTTAGTTTCCTCACCCAGAGGTGGAGATCACTCATTAAAGCACGCCTTGTCTTCTTCCCAGAATTACTGGGAAGTCAAATGAATGGGAAAACTGATGGAAGCTATGAGGGCCGATCCAGAAGTCAGGTAACCCTTATATGCAGACATGTATGAAAAACAGCCACCCAGAAACTTACCTGCGGCCGTCCTTGCTCCGACTAAACCTATTTCCTCTCCCTAAGAAGAGAAACAATTGGAATGTGAGAGATTTTTGTGAATCAGTGTGAACACATGGCTCTTGCAGGATGTGCACTGCTGTTCTAAGGACACGTGATCGGCTGTCACAGTCAACCTAGGATAGTCACACAGGCCCTAAGCCTATTACTTCATGTTTACCAGACCCTAACTAGGTGCCGGGAGTGCCCAGAACACTGTACATATTGTGAAGAGACGAAGGGAACAACCACAGGACGGCAGGTGTGCCAGGTGTGAGAGGTGAGAGATGTGGCCACGCCCAACAAGAGTTGCTAGAGCTCCTCCTCATGTGTCCGCATGGCCCCAGGTCTGGGCTGCAGGGAGGAGCCCACTCTGAGGCCGGCTGTCCCCTGCTCTCTCCCCCCTATTATCTGTCCTTGACATTCATCTATTCTAGAAGCCGAATAAGCCCTTCAGACTCTGACCAGAAAGATCATCATATGGTTGAGTAAACACAGTGATAATCAGAACAATAAAAAATAATAACAATAAAAACACAGTACCTAGAAAGCTCTGGGTAGATTCACCGAGCTTGTCAGAAAAGACAGTACTGGGGAAGGTGCTTTACGGAGCGAGCCACGGGGACAGGTGATTGTCAGACACACAGTATAACGGGGCTCAGCCTTGAGTGTGAGTCAGAACCGAACGGAGCGCGTGAGAAAACCCAGAAACCCAGGGTTTCTGAGTCAGTCTCAGATGCCAGTGCCGGTCCAGAGACCGAACTTGAAAAAAATCACTGTCATGGTAAGTTAGCCAGAGCCACTGGAGCTGTCATTCTCACTAGGGAGACTTCAGGTCCTGATTCATCCCTTCCAAGCCCCAAAGGAAGCCTTAAGGAAACTCCCGATGGGAATTTAACAGCCATCCCTCCCTCTTACCCTCCCTGGTCGCATACACACTCCCATGCTGCCATCGATGAGGACAATTATCAAACCACTCCAGATAAATATCTCCCAGGACTGAGTCTGGTTCTCACCTGTGTACAAGATGATTTTGCAAAAGGAATGAGTTATGCTGCAAAACAGAGGACACACTGGTGCAGGAAGAGCACTCAGGACTCCCAGGTCCAGGTCACTGAGCTGGTGCATGGTCCCTCCATCCCCCCATCCTCAGTGACAAGAGAGCGCCACTGGGACAGGACCGGCAAAACGTTGTGACCTGGTTTTCTCCCTACCCATTTATCTCGATACTCTGTCACAGGGCACTGGGATTCCCATCCCTCACCCCGAACTCACTTCATGTCACCAGACTGCTGCTGGGCCAGCCTCACCAACCCAGCGCAAAGGAGGGCAGGAGTGGCCACAAGCACACCCCACCTCGGGAGGGTGTCAGGCTCAGAGGGTTTGACATGGAAGGGACCAGAAAAATATCCCTTTCCTTCCGAAAGCTGATTACATTATACAATTCGCTATTTTACTAACAGCTGGAGTGACTGCTATAATACTATTGTGTTTTATGGGGGGAAGGGGTTAGGGGAAGTTCCTATAGAGCGCACTGTTGTGAATTATTTAAACCCTGTGATGAGAGCCGAGCCCACAGTCTCTTCTCCGGTGGTTCAAGCGGGGAAACGTGGCCAATATTCACCACAGGTCAGTGTGACCTTTTCTGGCTAGGGGACAGGAGAGGTTACATACATTTGGGGCTACAGTTGTGGGCATGAAAAGCAACTTCGGGCTAAATAAGGAAAAAGAATGAAGAGTGATTCATTCGTAGCATTTTGGTAAATACACACCATGCCTGTGTTTGCAAATACCTAGCGTGTAAGCTGGTTTTGTGCGCACAAATAGGCATATTTAGTGAAACAAATGTGACTTTCTCTCGTTAAAAAAAAAAATTCCAACTATCTTTCTCACATGCAAAACTGTGCTCTAGGTCCCAGGCTCTGAGGGCCCGGTGTGGTGTAAACCCATGAGGACTTGAGCCAAACAGGACCACCAATTCAATTCCACTTACCCCAAATGATGAACTGATCTCAGCTATACCACATTCATGATAGGGACCACAAGCCTAGAGAGCTGTATTCTGAACATTGGGGAGCAGGAGCACTCAGCTGCAGGTGACAATATTGGCTGGCGGCTCAAGAACACTGATTAATACTCTTGCCCTCTTCCTACCCCCCAAAAGTTCACTCATTTGCATGCACGCATGAGGCCATGCGAGAGCTGCCTGCACCCCAACACCCGTGGTGGTTCCTGTCCTCACCTGTTTTCCAGGAGCGTCATGCACACCACCTCTCGCACCCCGGGGTTGTTGGCCTTCTCCATGGAACAGCCCTGCAAGTTCCAGGTGGCCAGCCGCAGCACAGGCCGCCCATCCCGCGTGCCCCCGAAAGCCTCCACGGAAGGCCGAGTGGAGATGATCTGGGTGGGCCCCCCTGGCGGCAGGTCCAGGTCCTCACTCTGCAGGCTCAGCGAGGTGGGGCTGGGGTGAGGCTTGGCGGTGAAGGTCAGGCCCCCATTGGTGTGCGTGGACGGGGGCCTGGACCGCTCGGCAAACACCTGGTGCCGTATCCTGTCCAGGAAGGCGGCGTTGATGCCGCCCGTCTTCACCAGGTCCTCGACGCTGCGGAAGGGCCCGTGCTCCCGGCGGTAGTCCACGATGCTGGCCGCCATCTTCTCCGTGAGGCCGCGGACGCTCATGAGCTGGGCCGGCGTGGCCGTGTTGATGTTGACACGCGGGGTGAGGGGCACGGCGGTGGCCAGGTGGTGAGGCTGCGGGTCGGCCAGCAGGTCCCGCCGCGCGGAGCTGGGAGAGTGCTGCGCGGAGCTGCCCTTGCTGCTCACGCAGATCTCGAACTTGACCTGCTCTAGCTTGGTGGCGCCCACGCCGCTGACCAGCGCCAGGTCCTCCACCTTCTTGAAGCCACCGATGTACTCGCGGTACTCCACGATGCTGCGCGCCACGGCGCGCGTGACCCCAGGCAGGGTCATCAGCTCCTCCTCCGTGGCCGTGTTGATGTTCAGCCGCTCCTGGTTCACCAGGATGTTGCTGAAGTTGCAGGCTGCGCTGAACTTGCGACTGTGGGACAGGTCCGAGGGGTCCCGGGGAATGGAGCGGTGGCAGCCCAGGGTGCTCCCCATGACCGGCCAGGATCGGGGGCCGGGAAGGCCTCCCCACCACAGATGACTCTGGCTAGGAAGGAAGCCCGGCAAGACCTTAAGGCACAGAAGGGCGTCCAAAAGTAGCTCGCACCTGGCCACCTGGGAAACAAATTGAGAAACGGAAATCAGCTGGACCGGTCAATCGATTCGCGTTGGCGCTCCCGACCCAGAGCTTTGGTTCCTAACCCGGAGTCCGGGCTGCTGGCTGTCCTTGAACCCTGAGCACACGGTGAGGCCGGCCCCTGTGGAATTTCCTCTGGGGGTGACCGGTTTTATCACAGTGGCACCAAAAAAGGCTACGAGTCGCTCCTCTTGGAAAGAGACCTATCCCGTCGGCCCGCACCTCTCGTTCCCGCCGGAATCCCGGCCGCCCAGCGCGGGCACCGAGG